AAAGCTATCCCAAATTAATGGAAACTCTTAATGATATTTAATGATATAAAAAAATCTTCAACTAAATGCTTCCAAATAGTGAACTTAGGGGAGCCATTTTCATAACTAGATAGGAACATTGTTGAAGATATAATTATTTGTATGTAAATGGTTTAAGTGCTGAGAAATCATTGGCTCTCTTGGGTGGTTAAAGATTTCTTCTGTAATTTTGTTTACAGTTTTTATTTGTCCTCTTCACAGATAAAAGAAGCATCTAGTGGAGTAGTTAAAGAAAATAGGTTTGGAGGATCAAGTCATCTTTAAAACCTAGCTCTGCCATTTATATAGGTGCATGACCTTGGGCGTGGTACTTAACTTCTCCAAAACCCCAGCTTTCTTACCTGTAAACGGAAACAATAATGTCTATATATCTCAAGGTTTTGGGGAGTTTTAACACGGTCATGTATGTAAAGCACAGGGCCCAGAGCCTGGCATGTAGTAACAGCTAAATAAAAAAAACAGGAAGACAGGAGTAGTATTCAATAACAAACAAACAAAAACCTATTGCCATCGAGTCGATTCCAACTCATAGCAACCCCGTGTGTTACGGAGTAGAACTGTTCTATAGAGGTTTCTTTTATGTTGTTGTTGTAAAAAGATATATAACACAACATTTGCCAATTCTACACTTTTTCAGGTGTACAATTTCATGATATCAGTTACCTTAATCATGTTGTGTAACCATCACCCATAATCATACAGAGTTTTCTTGACTGTCATCTTTACAGTAGCAGACTGGCAGGCCTTTCTTCCGTGGTGCCACTGGGTGGGTTCCAACCACCAACCTTTAGATTAGCAGCCAAGAGCAAACCGTTTAATAAATGAACAGCTAAATGGAGAGACGTGACGTTTGAAGTGTGCGAGTGGGGAGCAGGCACGCATAAGGAATGCTTTAGCCAAAGTTAAGTTGTTTTTTCCCTAATTTTTCTCCTTATTGGTGCTGGACTCTCTGCTTTGCTGCTGTGTCCATCCCCAAAGCCCACGCTGGGAGGCCTAAGGCAAAAACCAAAAATAGCCCCTTTGTGGTAGAGTTGATTCCGACTCCATGTATTCCAGAGTAGAACCGTGCTCCATAGCATTTTCTGGGTTGCAGTCTTTATGGAAGGAGCCCTTGGTGATGCAATGTTTAAGTGCTCGGCTGCTAAACCGAAAGGTCAGTGGTTTGAACCCACCAGCTGTCCCGTGGGTGAAAGATGTAGTAGACTGCTTCCATAAAGATTATAGTCTTGCAAATCCTAGAGGGCAGGCAGTTCTACTATGTCCTATAGAATCGAATTGACTAGACAGCAATGAGTTTTGGGTTTTTAATCTTAGGGAAGCAGATGGCCAGGCCTTTCTTCCTTGGCACCACTGGGTGGGTTTGAACCACCAAACTTTAGGTTAGTTGCTGAGGGCAAACTGCTGGCACCACCCAGGGGCCTCCGTTGCTGTTGAGTAGATTCCCACTCAGGGCAAGGCCCTGTGTCTCCAAAGCTCACGCTGAGAGTCCTAAGGCAGATGCCTCGTTTTAGTTTGAGGTTTCTTTTCATTTTGTCCTGGAGACTAACGCTGCAGCCCCTGCAAACACAGGCCTGCAGAGAGGGAGAGGGAAGGTCTTCCTAGCTGCTGTATGCCCTGTATTTTATGCCCCAGGTGTCCTGCCCGCTCTCCTGCACTGCTGACTCTGGGGTGGGCATTTCTCCCAACCTCCATTGGGATGAAGCGCTCTCCCCTTTGCAGCCCCTTCCCTTTTGCAGTTTTAGGATATGGTTTTCTCTACTCTAGTAACTCTGCCAGGAATCCCTGGGTGGTGCAAATGGTTAAACGTTGGACTAGAAACCGAAAGGTTGGCGGTGCAAACTCATCCAGAGGCACCTCGGAAGAAAGGCATGGTGATCTACTTCCGAAGGGTCACAGCCATGAAAACCCTATGAACACAGTTCTACTCTGCACACATGGGATCGCCATGAGTCAGAATCAACTCAACAGCAGCTAATAACAACAGTAACTCTGCCTTTGCAATTCCATCTGCTTATAATCTTCCAGAGGTTCATCAATATGATTGCTGCTGGCACCCTTTTCCTGCTTTCCAACACCGTTCAAGATTTATTCTATTTCTATAACTTTTGTGTCATTTTCAAGAAATCTGGAGGAAGAAGTGGAAATAGTGCTTCTCAGGCCACCATCTTGAACAAGAATGTCTGTGGACACTCTGAATGTTTAGTTTTTTTCCCTTCCGTTATATGGGAAGAAAACCCAGGTGGTTGCCTGGAAGCTGTTCCTGCCATCATCTACCTGAGTGTAGAAATTTGATTTGGGCTTCGATGAGTGCATCGTTTCTAGCCACTCAGGGAACACTGTACCCTCATCAATGAATGGCTCATGAATGAGGTGGTGGCTGTGTCTGCAGGAATTCCTAGAGTTGGGCCAGGAGTGGAGGAACTTGGCCCAAAGCCCCTGCCAGCCCAGATCTCTCATCTTGGCTTTGGTACTGGCCTCTCTTTCAAGCTTCAGTGGTTTTTCAGCCCATCCCAGAGCCAGGAGGATATGTCAACTGCCTACTATGCAGAGCCCTGGGGGGATCACTCATGAATGAGGAGGGTGGGACTGAGGGAAGCTAAGGGAAACTCACTGTCCTTCCAGCCTCCAAGTGGCAGGAGAAGTCTGGGGATTTTTTTCCTGTGTGGATCCATGTGGTCACATCACCTTTCCTCCTCACTTGTTCTTTCCACTATGACACACTGTCCCTTGAGCTTCTTATCCAAGCCCATGGCAGCTCAGAAGCTTGCTAACATTTATTGGGTGCTGTGACAGGCACTGTTATGGGCACTTTAATGTGTTTCCATTTACTGTTCAGTGACTCCATGAGGCGGGTCCATTATTATCCCATTTTAGAGATGAGAAAACTGATGTGTAGAAAGGTTAAGTTTCTTGCTCAAGGTAACACAGCTACTATGTGACCAAGCCAGGATTCAAACCCAGGGAGTCAGGTTTCAGAGCCTACGGTCTAGCCACACTACTTCACAATTAGCATTAACCTTCTAGTCCATCTCTCCTAGTCATCCCCAACTGTGCCACTCAGCAGGCTCAAGAAGTCAGTCACTGGATGGTTGCCTCTCTGAGGGCAGGGACTGTAGTGGTGCAATGCCCAGTCCCCAATCACCAAGGGTGATCTAGCTATTTCTGCTGCCAAAGAACCAACCTGCCACCAGCGTTGTGCCCCCACCCCCACAGAATCATCCCTAGTCACTTGGTGGCAGGTTATTGACATTGGACCCCTTTCATTTTAGAAGGAGCAGTGATTCATTCTGACCAGATTGGCACATGATCCAGGTATTGGTTTGCCTTTCCTGCCTGCAAGGTCTCAGCCAACCCCATTACTCAACTCTGCTGTTGTAGTGCTAAAGCAGCCATAGACAATACATAAGTGAATGGGTGTGGCTGTGTTCCAATAAAACTTTATTTACAAAAACCGGCAGGGGGCCAGATTTGGCCCACAGGCTGTAGTTTGCCAATCCCTTCTTTATGCCCAGCACAAATGCCACTCACTTGGGAAGTCTTCCCCAACCCCCCTTCCTACAACTCTGAATACTCTCAGTACCTTTAAAAAAAAAAAAAAAAAAAACCCTCTTATGGCTACCTTGTGTTTAGGTTAGGAGGGTGCGAGCGGCAGCATTCGTGGTGGTTAAAAGCATGGATGTCATAGGCAAATTCCTGGTTCCACTTATACACTGTGTGACTTTGCCGCTGAGAGTCAGTTTTCCCAACTGTAAAATTCGGATTGTAACAATACAATAGAGCATACCTCCTGGGGCTGCTGTGATGTGTAAACACGAGATGTCCGATCAGTGCTATTATTTTTCTCTTTATTTCACTTTTACAACCTTCCAGCTTTTGAGTGGTTTTGTTGTTGGCATTAACCATTACAATACTCTGTGTGAGACTGAATGAACAAATGGACAATGGCCAGACCACGTATAAAAATAGATCACAGACCTACTATCCGCAGCATCCAGCCAGGAAGACAAGCCACTATCTGCAGCTACCAGGCCAGAAGATCAAGCAATAATCCCGGTAACAATGGGCCTCAAATGGTCAGGATTTGATCAGTAGCTGACAGCTTCCTTCATTTTTGTCCCCACTTCCAACGTAGGACCAATTGGAGATGACCAAATAAGCTCTCCTAACCAATCACATAGGAGTCACACCCTGGGTGATACAAATGATTAAGCACTCCACTACTAGCCATAAGGTTGGCGGTTCAAACCCACCACTGAGAAGTGCCTCGGAACACAGCCCTGGCGATCTGCTTCCAAAAGGTCACAGCTTTGAAAACTCAATGGAGCAGTTCTACTCTGTACACATGGGGTAACCGTGAGTTGGAACCGACTCAACAATACCTAACGATAACAACTACCACCAGTCCCATAAAATGCCCCACTTCTAGTTAGCCCTTCTCCAGTTTCCCCACGCCAACAGCCTCCCATCAGGGCACACCTGAATTCGTGCCTTCTTTCCATTATAAAGCTTTCCTACTCTCCTACCTGCCTTTGAGTCTCAGCCACTTGCAAGTGAAGATGGCTGACTCCTTTACTATAGCAAGCTTTGAATAAATAGCCTTTGTTTGTTCTTATTTGGGTGTTCTTTGTCTAGTTCCAGGAGCTCTGGTGGTACAATGGTTAAGTGCTCAGCCGCTAACCGAAAGGTTGGCAGTTTGAACCCAAGAGCTCCTCCACAGAAGATGTGGCAGTCTGCTTCTGTAAAGATTACAGCCTTGGAAACCATCTGGGCAGGTCTACTCTGTCCTATAGGGTCGCTATGAATTGGAATCCACTTGACAGCAATGGGTTTGGTCTGACGACATTACAGTTCCTTGATGCCTCTCAGAAGCCATGGTGTAGCCACCTTTGCACCCCCTGAAGCCATGAACACACATATTTGACTAGCAGCCTGTTTGGAGGGCCTGCTGGGTGTTTACTTACGACTGGGGGATCCCTCCGATCCCGAAGCCCACCAGGCCCCGAAGCACCAGGATCCAGCTGTACACAGGCGCGAACGCACTGAGGATGCCGTAGTACAGGGTCCAGAGCACGCTGATCTTCAGCCCCTGCAGAGAAGGGAGATACCAGGTCACAAGGGCTTCTCCAGCGCCTCCAGGTGGGGTGGTCTCTGCGCCCACATTTAAAGCCGCCAATGGAGGAGGAGTAGGTCACAAGGTTCCTAGCGGGTGCAAATGGTTTGCACCCCACTGCTAACCTAAATTGGCAGTTTGAATTCATCCAGAACTACTGGTACCACAGAAGAAAGGCCTGGCAATCTGCTTGCATAAAGATTACAGTCAAGAAAACCCTATGGTGCAGTTCTACTCTGCAACGCATGGGGTCGCCATAAGTTGGAATCAACTCAACAGCAACTAACAAACCAACAACGGGACCACGTCCAAGGGTAACCCATACAGTGAAGGAGGTGTGGGGGAAATTGTGGGGCATTTTTGGTTGTCCCAATGATTGGCACTTAATGGACAGGGGCCAGAGATGTTAGACGTCTTCCTATGCATGAGACACAGTAAAGATTTGGCCTACACTCTTAGCTCAAGTAGATACAAGGGACTAAATGAGCAGCTTCTGTCTGGAGGTGAGATGGGAAGGCAGAGAGGGTTAGGAGCTGGTTGAATGGACATGGGGCATCATGGGTGGAAAGGAGGAGTATGCTGTCACATTATGGGGAGAGCAATTAGGGTCACATAACAACGTAGGTATAAATTTTTGTATGGGGAAAAAAGAAAGATTTGGCCTACATCTAGTACCATCTCAAATGCTCCTCCCCAACAGTCCTGCAGCTGACAAATCTGTTTATAATTATCTGCACCAAGACCTTCATTCTGTTTTACATATAAACAGGATTTTTTTTTTGTATAGTTTGAACAGACAGTATTTTTTCCAGGAATGCAATTCCCATGTAAATCAAAGGAAGACTGTACTTCGCTGGATCCGGAACTTTGCAAAATTGTTCACCATTTCAGAAAACCATGTTGCTAATGCCAACACTGTTATGGATTGAATTGTGTCCCCAAAAAATGTGCGTCAGCTTGGCTAGGCCATGATTCCCAGTATTGTGTGGTTCTCCACCATTTTGTGATCTGATGTGATTATCCTATGTGTTGTAAATTCTAACTTCTATGATGTTAATGAGGCAGGAATAGAGGCAGTTATGTTAATGAGGCAGGACTCAATCTACAGGATTAGGTTGTATCTTGAGTCAATCTCTTTTGCGATATAAAAGACAATCAAGCAGAGAGGGAAGGACCTCATGCCACCAAGAAAGAAGTGCCAGGAGCAGAGCACATCCTTTGGACCCGAGGTCCCTGCACTGAGAAGCTCCTAGACCAGGTGAAGATTGATGACAAGTACCTTTACCTAGAACCTACAGAGAGGAAGGCTTCCCCTGGAGGTGGCACCCTGAATTCGGACTTCTAGCTTTCTAGACTGTGAGAGAATAAATTTCTGTTTGTTAAAGCCACCCACTTGTGCTACTTCTGTTATAGCAGTACTAGATGACTAAGACAAGCACTGTTTGTAGTATTTGAGTTATTGATGGAACACGTTGATATCAGTCTGTATTCACTGGGATTCTACATGTACATACAAATATACCTATTTAAACTTTGGAGCCCTGGTGGCACAGTGATTAAGAACTCAGCTGCCTACCAAAAGGTTGGCAGTTTGAATCTACCAGCCACTCCTTGGAAACCCTGTGGGGGTACTTCTACTCTGTCCTATAGTGTCAGTATGAGTTGGAACCGTCTTGACGGCAACAGATTTGGTGTTTGGTATTTAAACCTTATTTCAAAACGTCAGATATAAAGAAAAGGCATTAATTAAATTAATTAAATCCAAACTTATTTGTGTTCAGAGGCAAACATTGATGACTTCCTGTTATCATCTAGGCATAGTTGTGCAGGAACATTTGGCAGATCAAAAAGAAGCCTTATTTTATTAATTACCTCTTGTTCTTATTTCTCTCTCATATCATAGTCAGGGCATGATTGTTGATTTCTTTATTTAAATTATATGGGTTTATTTATTTCCAGACATTAAAGAAGTTAAGGAAACAGTACTATTTTATAACATATTTATATACAAGGGACCTAGGTTGATACCCACTGAGAGATAAGACCCTGCAAGAGAAACATGGGGACTATTCCTGGAGTGTTAATTCCGCTTGAAGATCTGAGAAAATATTAAGCATGAATGTCATTTAAAATATTACTTTCATATCACAACCAACACCAAATGTATTATAGAATGGAATGCAAATTTTACATGAATTTTAAACATGCGCCATGAGGTCTGGGGAAGGCCTCACTCTACAGGCGTCTGTCATACCTCCGAGGCTGAGTTCACCTGCCTGCCTCCTGGGGACACTTCAGGGGAAAAGGCTGAAACATACTGATGTGAGGTTTATAACCTTAAACTGTCACACGCCCTCCAAAACCAAAAACCGAACCCATTGCCATTGGGTCAATTTGACTCATGGCGACTCCATGTGTTATAGTTTAAAACTGAGCTCCACAGGGTTTTCTTGGCTGAAAATCTTTACAGAAAAGAAGCCGTTGTGGCACAGCGGTGAAGCGCTAGCCGCTAACTAAAAGGTCAGCGGTTCAAACCCACCAGTCCCTCCACTGGAGAAAGATGTGGCAATCTGCTCCCATAAAGATTAAACAAAAAAACAAACAAACAAAAATCCTTTGTCGCTGAGTTGGTTCCGACGCATAGGGACCCTATAGAACAGAGCAGAACTGCCCCCTAGGATTTCCAAGGCTGTAATCTTTTTTTTTTTTTTAAATGGGCCTGTCTAATCTTAAAATGGTTAAAAGAGCAACATTTTTGTTATGTATTTTTACCTTAATAAAATTATTTTTAAACATGTAACTGAATTAAAAGAGAGAGAGGAAATTTGATGGTCTACAAGATAATTTCAGGTCCTTTGGAAAAAGATCTTAGGAGGCAGAGCGAGTATTTTAAATAACTTTGCAGCACCTTATAAGAAAATTAGTTGTTTTTCGTTTCAATGATTCGTTCTCCTGATTGTGTAAAAGAGAAAGTGTCCATGTGGTACTAGTCTGTCCTTAACACCTTTCTTAGTACCTACTAATCTCTCTTTTCAATGAAGAGAGGGCAGCTGGGCAACAGTGACCAGCTAGAATTTACACCGTTTTGTTTTCATTGTATTTATTTTTGCAGACTTTTCCTAGTTATGGCAATTATTACTGATCTTCCATGTTGACTTCCTATAAAATTTACTTTTCAAAAAAAACACATTTAATTTTTTTTAAAAAAGCAAAGTGATATAAAAAATATTAAGTATGTAAGAGAACAGGTGGGAAAAGAATTACTGACGTTTCAGAAATCCTGGATTTAGTCCAATAATAATAAAGCAACATTCCTCTACCCCTAAACCTTTGACTGTGAAGTTGTTACCTGCCACACACGTACTTAATTCCCTCCTTTTGGTTTAAGCCAGCTTGATAGGGATTTTCTTGCTTGCAACCCAAGGAATCTTGAATCAGACTTAAATTAGAAGCAGAGAAAATACAAGGGAAGAAGGAAAACAGAGCAGGAGAAGAGGAATGGAGGAGAGAAGAGGGGACCCAGACTGGGGCATGGAGGCTAAGCCTCCCTCAAGGTGCTGCCTGCGGGCTGCATTATCCCTGTCAGGTAACTGGATGACCCCGGGTAGTAAAGACAGGCATGCTGACCTGTCCTGCCAGGTCACAGCAGATCACATCTGGCTCTGATTATGTCAGCTGCCTAGAAAACGAGGACTCAGCACCCATTTGTAAGTACTGCCATGGCCATCAGGAAGGTCAGGCTCAGCCAGCATGCCCCATCCAAACGCTGCCCTGGAACTTTGCAGAAATGTCCCACAGGCCTCTGGGCTTCTCATTAACTAGAGTCCTTGCCCTGCCTCACATCTGCCCTGCCCTTTATGGATTGTTAGTTCATGCTTTCATTCCTTCATCCATTCATTCAACATACGTTTACTGAGCATCCCTGTGTGCCAGTCACTAGAGATCGTGATATGCATTATTCATTCATTCATTTGCTCATTCAATTATTCATTCACTACTCATGTATTGAGTGCCTGCTGTGTGCCAGGCACAAGAGGCACTGATATACATTATTCATTCATTTTTTCATTCGATATGCATGTATTGAGTGCTTACCGTATGGCAGGCATCAGAGATACTGATATATATTATTCATTAATTTATTTATTCATTCACTTATTTAATAGCCATGTACTGAGCACCCACTGTGTACCAGACACTAGAGTTATTAATATATGTTATTTATTCATTTATTCAATATGCCTGTATTGAGCACCTCCTGTATGCTAGGCATTGGGCTTTGGGCCTGGGGCTACAGCAGGAAACATGACAGCCAGGCTCTCTGACTTTCATTTACATTTTAAAAACCAGTATCACAACATTACTCTTGCTGAGGATCCCGTGGGAGTCTCAAAAGCAACCTTGTAGGAAGGGGTGGTTATTTTTCATTTCTGCTTTATAACTGGCATGGCAAGGGTCAAAGTGGTTGAGTGAATTGCTCAAGATCAGCAAGGGACAGAGCCAAGACTGGAGAGAGCCAGGACTTCCAACTCCAAATGCTGTTCTTTGACCGAGCCACTCTCTTCTTCTAGAGTCTTCAATGGCTCCCCATCACCTCTGGCAGAAAACATAAATGCAGGATGCAGGTGTAACACAGCAAGGACAGGTGGGCCTGGGTGAATGAGAGAGAACATGTCCTGACTGTCAGCCTCTACTCAGCTCTAGCCAAAATTTGCTATGACAGAGTGTGGGTCCCATGCTGCCAGATTACTTGATTTTCAGGAAAAGCTACGAATCCGTTTATTTTTTGTGAAAAATGCATCGTGTTTGAAATGAAGGCAACTGATTCCAAATCCTATAAAACACCGCGTGGGATAAAGAAAACACACCTGTGGGCTCTGTTTGTCTCATGGGCCACCAGTCTGCAACCTGTAGCCTAGAAAAGCCAAGCTCATTCTGGCATTTGAGGCTCCTGCTCTAAGATGCTGAGTCTTGCT